TTGAATATGTCGATATTAATGAATTTGCTATTCTAAAATTTGTATCTTTTGTTCGTAATTTTTTGTGTTGTTAAATTTTGTAAATATTCAAAGTCGGGCCTGGTCATTTTTGTAAAGTTTTTGAACTGATCATAGCCCTCCTCAGACACTAAGTGGTTGCAGTAAATTATATCGATTTCTAAAAATTTGATTTTGCTCACCAGCAACGTTTTCGAATTTTCTCCTTTTTAATAATTAAGCTGTGCTTTGGCTGTGCATAACAGTGACTGCAGTTTCGACTATTTCTTGGTCGTTCGTTATTTTAGCCAACACAACTCTGCTGTGCACGCACAAATGGATCATTTCATTCGTCGAAAAATAAGTTTTTAATTTGAAAGGAGCCGAGAGCGCGAACGAATGTCGTGCGCGCACGCTCAGCTCGTGCGTGCTCAAGTGTAAACGGCTGTGCGCGCACGCTCACCCTGAATCTGGCTGTGCGCGAGCAGCCGCGAACGTGAACCGTCTGGTGTCGGTTTTTGGTCCGTGCTCAAAGGGATTTTATGTGTGCGCGAATGCTCAATTTGGACCGGCAATTTGTTTTGTCTGCGTTCGTGCGTGCGTGTGTGATTTTTTTTCGTTTTCTTTATTAAAATTATGAAGTGGATCAATGAATCTTCGTTATTATTAATAGAAGAATATGAAAGTTGCCTATATTATGGAATGTTAAACATTCTTTGTATTATTCTCACAGATAAGAGGAAAATGGCTAAATTTTATGTTTAGAATTATAAATTGTTGTTGTTCTTATGCTCTTTTTACGTTGAAATTATTGTTTTGATTGAAAATGGCTCAGCAAGCTGCAGGTATGTATTCTACAAAAACGTATTATTTATTTTGGTATTCGCTATACTAACGATTTTTTTTGCAACTAAAAGTTAGGCGTTCAGAAAATTTGGTTAAATTTGTGACATTTTTATTATACTTAGAGATTTAGTTGCGCATTTCGAAGAATTCAGCATATTGTCTATATACGTTTTACTTAGTAAACATTGGGCTTTCATACAGTAAAATAAAATACTGCGACTTTTTGCGATTTTGCTGATAAAATGAGAAAAACATTCTTGGTTTCCTCTAATTTGCCAATCAGTGATATACTAATGCGAGGTGTAAACCGCGATGGCATTGTTGTGTACAAAGTAATCGCATTAGTGCCATTAGCGGTATAGCACAATTTGGCATTAGTAGCGACTTAAGTGTTATGGGCATTGCTCGCGGATCAGTCCTAGCATTAGTAGTAGTAGTTGCGATATTACTACTGGCACTGACCGTGGAAACACTGGAACAGTGATTTTTCTTTCTTTTTTTAGAATCGACGAATTATCCTTTATTTTCTTCATATTATTTCCTCTTTAATTGAAAATAGCAATAATTTATATAAGGTCTAGATAAAAAAATTTCGATCAACTATCAGTGTCAAATACCCCACTGTGCGGCTGTGTGCGCACGCTCACCCTGAATCTGGTTGTGCGCGAGCAGCCGTGAACGTGAGCCGTCTGGTGTCGGTTTTTGGTCCGTGCTCAAAGGGATTTTATGTGTGCGCGAACGCTCAATTTGGACCGGCAATTTGTTTTGTCTGCGTTCGTGCGTGCGTGTGTGATTTTTTTTCGTTTTCTTTATTAAAATTATGAAGTGGATCAATGAATCTTCGTTATTATTAATTGAAAAATATGAAAAGTTGCCTATATTATGGGATGTTAAACATTCTTTGTATTATTAAAAAATCAAAAAAAAAATATAACGCATGGCAAAACCTTGTAAATAAAATTAATATTGAATATGTCGATATTAATGAAATTGTTATTCTAAAATTTGTATTATTGTATCTTTTGTTCGTAATTTTTGGTTTTATTAAATTTTGTAAATATTCAAAGTCGGGCCTGGTCATTCTTGTAAAGTTTTTGAACTGGTCATAGCCCTCCTCAGACACTAAGTTGTTGCAGTAAATTATATCGATTTCTAAAAATTTGGGTTTGCCACCAGCGACGATGTTTTCGATTTTTCTTCTTTTTAATAATTAAGCTGTAGCTAATAATGACTGCAGCCTCGACTATTTCTTGGTCTTCCATTATTTTCGCCAACACAACTCTGCTGTGCGAGCACAAATGGATCACTTCATTCGTCGAAAAATGAGTTTTTAATTTGAAAGGAGCCGAGCTCGCGAACGAATGCCGTGCGCGCACGCTCATCTCGTGCGTGCTCAAGTCTAAACTAACCATAAGAACCATAATGGGGAAGACAGAATTAGAAACACAACTATCAGACAACAATGTGGAACACAGGACGTAGTGAGATGGGGTAGGCAAAGAAAAAGACAATGGTTCGCACACGTAAAACGCATGGAAGAAAATAGGTTACCACGCATACCTCTTGAAGGGAAACCCATGGGTAAGAGACAGCCGGGAAGACCTCCAAAAAGATGGAAAGACAGTGGGCAAAGAGAATCCAAGAACTCCTATAGAGGCAATCTTAAAATTAACAGATCGACTAGATCTTAAATAAGGTGTCGATAAATTACAGTAAGTTTGTAAAATTTTTCTTTTAATTATAAAATAGGTAAAATACGCGAAGTTTTGTGATTCTTCAAAAGATCTGGAATTTTTTTGTGAAGTTGAAGGAATATGAGGGTTTTTTGAGGTTCCGTTAAAGAGATTCGCTCGAAAAATTCTGGCAACACTGGTTACACTATTTATTGTGTTTCAATATATTTTACACTCTTGACATGGAACAACAGCACGACAGAGTTCCCAGAAGGTCGGAGACCCGTCCATCCACTCGATTCGTCTAACTACGATGATCAATTTTACCTCTATAAGTTGCTGGTCGCTAAATCGACCACTTTAATTTAACCAAGTTAACAGTCGCGTGCAAGTGTATTATCGCCCAGTTTGTTTTCTATGCCTGTTTCTATGCGCGCCTTGGTCATTTAATCAACCATATCTATACGTTGCATTGGCCGAATTAGCCCGAAAACTTAACGTAAACGGTTGAATATTCGACCAGTGAGCATTGGTGACACTGAGTTCGCTGTATGTCATATAGGTAATATTGTCGTCTAAGCATTTTCTATGCAAATTTCGTGTGATGAAAATTTAAAAATATAGAAACAAATGTATTTGTGACGTTTATTTCTTTTTATTGAGTGCATCAAATTTACGGCTCGGATGATATTTTCTAAAATCCTTAACGTATCCTGTATATTTTCGATCATTTCTTATAGGATGCGAGTTTTTCGAAAAACAAAAGTTCATTTACTTGATATGGGCATATTTTTGAGTAGAGATAGAGAAAATCAAAATGAACTTTTTTCTTACATTGGATGATACATACAGTTTTTTACATTATATACATTAAGTCATTACATATTATCTATTTACTTTAACACTCCCTGGTTGAAAAATCGACCACCATCGTCTCACTCCTTTATTTGTTAACTTTTTGAAAAATGTTATTAAGAGGATATGCTCCCTTTGTGCTAGTTTTAGAAATTTTTGAAGTCAATTTGATGAAACTAGAAAATAATTAGTACTGCCTTATAAAGGGTTAAAGATAAACAAATCGTATCCTACAAGATTTATTAGTTTCTGTCTATAATATAGCAACTTTCCATCGTGCTCGAAGCGTATATATTGGTTGAAATTGCTGCTGCCCTCTAGCGTGGCTATCGCCCACTACAATTTCTCTTTTTCGCGATTTATGTGCCGTTTTTCCTCTCAACTAGAAAGCTGTCTGTCGATAAGTTAAGATTGAAAGGTGAGAGACGCCCTCTAGGTGCCGTAGTAACATGTAAAATATCATATTATTTATGTTTGGAAAAAATGTCGAAGAGAGAAATGAAAATATTTACACCTATGAGAAATAAATAAATTGGAGATACAGGGTGTAGAAGTTTTATTTATCCTCTGCTGTTTATTGTAATACAGCTTGGCAAGCTGACCTTTCTTACACTTTTTTTAATTTTACAACTCGTTTTTATGTAAATATGTTATAGTCTAAGAGCTGACTACATAAAAAACCTTATCATCGTTACATGGCTAATTTTTTGTGTGAAGTATCCTTTTGTGTAGCCATTATGAAATAGTCATGTCGGCCAGCGCGATCCCGGGGCTTAAAGCGGGAGCGGCCAATCAAAAGGGTGAAATTTTGACACTAAAATTATTATAAGATACATGAGTTATAATTGCGAAAATAGCTTTTATTTATTATTAAGAAACGCTAAAGTCGCTAAAATGCCGACAGACAACGCGAAAGAGGCATGAAATTTTAAAAATTATTAAAAAATGAAATTTGAAGAATGAAAAAAATTATGGCATATTTGCATGCCGATTGGTGAAATGTCATATTTATTTATTTTAAAAGCCGTATGCAAAAGGGCAGACCAAAAGATCGTGGCTCAATCAGCTGCAGACAGTTATCAAAAGCGCGATATTACTCTAGCGCTATATTCAGGGAACGCTGGCCGCCTCATTCATTTAACTATAGATAAATCATATAATATACGATTATATAATAAATAAAAGCTATTTGGTCATTATATAAAAGCTATTTGGCCATTATAACTCGTGTACCTTATAATATTTTTAGCGTCAAAATTTCACCCTTTCGATTGGCCGCCCCCGCTTTAAGCCCCGGGATCGCGCTGGCAGACATGACTATTTCACAATGGCTACACAAAAGGATACTTCACACAAAAAATTAGCCATGTAACGATGATAAGGTTTTTTATGTAGCCAGCTCTCGGTCTATAACTACGTCTATTACTTAATACGCATCAGCTTCACAGGAAGTCACGTGACGTGACGTCTGTTACTTATATTTTTTTCAGTGTATCCCATAATATACTTTAGTCTTTAGTCTTCTTTAGTACAGTAGTCGCTTTCAAAAAATTAGTTAAACAATTTCATCAACATCTCTACCTTGTAACGGATATAGGTATCTAATGGTCTGTTTTTTGATCGTTCCAGGTAGAACAACGCGATGTTCCCGGTATCGACTCCGCCTTCCTGGCCATGGACATGGAAGAAGGTGTGGAAGTTGTCTGGAACGAGGTGCAGTTCTCCGAGAGGAAGAACTTCAAAAACCAGGAGGAAAAGATACAGAGCGTGTTCGAAAACTTGACGCAGCTGGACCATCCGAACATCGTCAAGTTCCACCGCTACTGGACCGATACGCATAACGACAGACCCAGGGTGAGTCAAGTCAATATATTAATTAAACTGTGCTTATATCGTAACCATAAATTAGGGTTGCCAACTTTCAAAAAGAAATAGAAGATGAGACGGTAAAAAAGAGGCACACGTGAATCATTTTTTGAAACCTCGCCTAAATGTCTAGAATTTACCAAATTGATGATCTTTCTTACCTTCATAACAATATTTATACTCAAAACTTGTTAAAATAAAACCCACCATTTTTAACAAAACTTTTTTTCCAAAACATGAGCCAACAATAAGTAAACATAAAATAGTTATGTTTATCGCTTCCACAAATATTTCTTTTACATAAATGTTTCTTCGACTCTTTTTCTGTACAGAGTAGCCACAGAAAGACACAGATTAACGATTTTTTATAGCGAACACCAACATTTTTTAGATTTTGAAAATTTTGTTTCAAAAATTAAAAATTTTATAAAATAAAATAATAATTTTATTTTTTTTTTAATTCGCGAATTTATGGAAAAGTTTGTATTTTTATGAAAACAATTCCAAAACACCTTTTTGACGTTGAATTTAATGGTTTAAGTATAATTTTTTTAAAAATAATAATTTAAGAGTGATCAACAGAAAAATTGATTTTTTATTTGGGACACCCCGTATATTTTTAATTCACTGAAAATAGCATTCTTGATATGAATGAGAAAAATATAGCTTACTTGATTTGCCCACCCTATACACTGTCATATTTGCTCTCTTGTCTAGGATTTCCTTAACTCAGTTTCGAAAAGTTTCAAAATATAGAGATTATATTGTCGTTTATTACATAATAAATTCAAAACCCAAATATTAAATTATTTAGAGACATGAATATTGATTGTCTTGTCTGTAAAATTATCATAATAATTTATTGGTTGATAAATATTAATAAAATATTGATTTTTAGTTCAAATGTCTAGCCTAATAACAGGTCTCAATATAGTTTAGCAGAGTAGATCAAAATTTTATGCTTTTAATAGATTCATTTTATAAAGAATCAACTATAAAAAATAAAATCTGAATTTCTTTAAAATTGCCAAGTGACCTGGCGCATTCGCCATAATCACGCAATTCTAACAGTTTTTTTAAAAATTATGTATTTCGATAATTTAATTAAGATTGATTGATTATTTTACATTAACTATTATATTTTTTTTATTTTTTGAACTCAAAAAATGTATAAAAAATGGATATGTTTAAAACACATAAATTTTTGTTCCTGGCGCATTCACCATATTCTATACAAGAATTTAAACAAAATTTCTATAAGGTTTATGTAAAAAATTGAAATATTTTAATATCTTGGGATATAAATTAGTATTTTACAATTTTATATACGGTGTGGCACAAATATTTTTGTGTTACTTATCGAATTTACTCTAAGAACCTGGCGCATTCGCCATTTATTACATATTTAATCTTATTCTTAAACAGAGTTGCTGGGATATTCTATTAATTTTAATTGTATTTTTAGACACTGTGAATGATCGTAATTTCTTAAGTAGAGAGTCTAATTGAGACCACTAAATTATTCCACTAATTCCGAGGTACTGAATGAATCTTAAAATGTCAAAATAAACCAAAATTACGTTTTTAATTTCAAACCGTTTGGATTGCGAGGATTATTCCCTTGATACTTCTGCGCTCCTGGTAGCAGAATCTTGGCTTTACCGACCAAACTGTGTTTTATAAAGCGATCTCAAGTAAGACTTGAGTCGCGGCCAATGTTGTCAACTTTCTCAAATAGAATTTCTCACAAAGACTCAATATTTCTCGTTTTTCTTTTCTAAAAATTCCCACAAGTTCTCAAATCCAATATAGTGTCCGTCAACACAATACAGAACTGAAAATTTAAAAATTTTCTGTACAAATTTTGAAATATACTTTTAATTTTTTTTCTGAAAAGTCTTATAGGCCTGTTCCTGGGATCGAAATATACCATCCCTAGAGATATTTGCACTTATTTATAATTCACCGTGTATTCGAGGGCAGAGGGTACAAGAATAATGTCAGATGCTAACCGAAAATGTGTATTTAGTTGCGGTAATGCTATACTTGCACTCACTTTGCTGAAATAAAGCTGCAATAATACATAAATGTAGATTTTCCCACGAATATGGTGTCCATGTATAATTAATTACGTCGATTTTTGTTTAATTATGTACTGATAACTTCTCCCTAGCATTCCTAAAAATGTCAAAATAAAGCAAAATTACGTTTTTAACTCAAAATCAGCTCCGTCCAGTCTTCTGTGCTCTTGATGGCAGAATCTTGGCTTTAGCGGCTAAACTGTGGAAGTTTGGGTTTTATAAACGGCAAGCAAGACTTAAGTCGCGACTCAAACTGTGACGTAGTGTTCTGAATTGACTATACCTATAGTACATTTCTGTTCTCCTGATCACTTTCTGCGAAGTATTATGAATAAAGTTTGTTTTAACGTCATTTTACACAATCTATTGTGTAATGTAATTAATGTACTGTTTACGTGTACCTACTGTATGTAATATTTATGTATCTTCTTCCTTTTTTAATACAAGGAATTATTATTGAAAAACGCATAATATATTATTATTATTAAATTATTTTTTTACTTAGAATGAATAAATGTAACTTTTCATATACCTAGTTAAAAATACTTTTTTTAACAATAATTTCTTTAATAAAAATAGCAATGAAATTTTGTTTAGAGAGTACCATACTTCTAACAAATAAACAGAAATGGATTTATTCAGTATTATGAATATATTATTCTCAGGGAAACAGGTTTTTTCTAATGAAAAGTGAAAAATGCATTAATAAATTCATCACATCACTAGGTACTATTATTTTAACTACAAGTGGAGAAATTATATTGTTAATTGTTATGTATATGTATGTATGTTCAGCATTTCTTATATGGCATCATCTTGCTAAGTCTGCACTCCTGATTATGGGCGCGATCAATTAGTAACCAACTCTTAATAAACCGCCAACATACCAAAATAAAGACGGTATCGGCAACGTAGATGTTATGAAACGGTGTTGCGCGATTGCCAGATGCTCGAATTTTTCATAAGAATGCAGATTTTTTTAGAATATAATATCTAGTGCCTCATTTTTGTGTGTTTTATGGGGTTTTTAGTTTATGAGTCGTTACGCTAATTTTTTATGAAACTAAAGATGCTAACTACACACAGATACTAGCTAGTGATGCCACTTGCCACCTTTTTGTAAAGTAAAAAAAGCACATTGGACTACTAACAGGACGGGGGAAAAGGAGGGGAGTTGTCGATTATAAAAACGTTACTTTAAAATTTTGAAAAGCTTGTTTTAAGATCAAAATTGTTAAAAATAAAGCCTAAATTATCATTTGGTATTAAACGAGGAGTTCTAAATAATGTAGCCGATTATAAACAATAGTATATTGTTTTATTAGGAGTAAAAATGATACTTTTTGTGGCGAAACTGTACGTTTGACGACATTACAGGCGAGGCACAAAAAGTGATTTTTACTCCGAATAGAACTTTTTTTTTTTCAAACGTCAAATAATTGTTTAAACAATTTCAAACATTGCAAATAATATAAAAAGATTTAAAAGTAATACCCTGGAAGTAAATATATATCGAGATATTATGGTTACACTCGTTGAATTTCACACTTTATGTCAGTTTAATAATATATTTTCGTACTTTTGTGCCGTCCTTTACTTTTATGCCTAGACGTTAAAATGACTTTTCTATTTTGTCAATCACGTCGCAAAAAATAATACTTTTGTGACGTTTGAAAAAAAAATTTGCGCCGGGAGGCACGTATAGCCGCCCATCCTAAAATATGTTAATAAAAGTTTGGTAGGCAGTTCTTTTAGTTTCAAAGTAAAGGAATTTTTCCAATTTTTTATCTCAAAAACTGCGACTTTGACTGATTTTGATGTTTTTTGTTGCAAATATTATTCCTAAGCTTAAATTGAAAACCGCGTTTCGCTAGCTACTGTAATTTTGGAGTTACGATTTTTTAAAATTTTTAACCCCCTCCCATACCCCCTTACCAACCCCCACCCCCACCAAAAACTAATGGCCAGATTCTCGAGTGCCACAGTATTTTTGTGCCAAATTTGGTTAAAACCGGTTTAGCGGTTTTTGAGTTATCTTGTTACAGACGGACAGACAGACACCATGAAAGTATTTTCTATTTAGGTCATTTATGACCCAAATAACTCATTTTGAGTGAAATTAAAAAAACTTTTTTTTGCCGATCTTAATAGCCTACCATACCTGTTGGTATGGTCGGCTAAAAAGCCAAAAGGACAATTCGTTCTAAAAAAGGACTGTCCTTTCCAAGAAGGACAGGTGGCAACCGTAGTCCTAGCCCTAGCCTTCTTAGTTCATGAAATACAGGGCGAATTTGTTGCATTTCTCGATATCCTTCACAAAAAGCTTATCACAGTGATGTGAAAACCGCATCTTTGTATTTCTACTATATAATAAAGGGGAATCCCTGTAAAACACACGAAGATGGGACAACCTCTATACGGACTTATCGAGTGAGTAGCAGCAGCAGCAAGACAACCATGCCAACGTCTGTCTTTTCCTGCAGCTGATACGCTGCTAGTCTCGACCTCTTCACCGTTCCTGTTCTCCTGCGAGCGCGAACCCAACCTAGTCGAACGGTCTCGGCCGTTTCGAGGTTTTCTGCCCGGGCCCGGGTTTGCAGCAAATATTCCCCCGAGTTACACACAATCCTGCGACATATTACCGACTAGTCCAGGCTGTTTTGGCATCGTCGTTTCGGGCATAGTTTTCGCAAAAATTCAGTTCGGTTAGTTCAGTCGGTCGAATCGCGATGAAAATGATCCTCCTCGCCGACACTGCGATTTCCTGCGAGAGCACTGGGAGGACCGCGAATAGTCTCTGCTAGTTGCTGCGCTCCTGCTGAGAAATCTGACGTTGTTCGACCGAGAGAGAAATTTTTGTCTTTACTCTGTTTTCGGTTTGCGTATGTTCTTGGATTAATCGGAGGGATAGATATGTTACGCACAATACTCGAATTCTGGTAATGCCCGAAAAAAATGCACAGAACTAGTTTTGAGCAAAAAATATTTCCCAAACCTACAATTGTACATTTAAACGGGTATAGTCAAAACTAGTATTGTGCATTTTGAATTGCGCAAAACTAGTTTGGTGCATTTCAAAATGTCCAATACTAGTTTTGCTTATTCTATTTGATCAATAACGCCCTAACACAAAGGGTGTATTGTTTATGAATGTGTTTGATTCAATGATTAAACTGACAATAAAATACTTAAAAAAAAAATCTGTATTTATAAATATTTTATAAATGGATAAATACATAATAATATAAGTACCTATATTAATATTTATACAGCAGCATTATATTATTTATTTGAACAGGAACTTGAATGGTGGCACCTGGAGTTGCAAATAACATTATTTTTTCTACAACACGCTTTATTAATACATTTTTTTATACACATGCATGAAATAAAACCTTGAGTAGATCCGGATATATCGGAAGATGCAGTTCTAAGTGGTATTTCCGTTTTATCGTCAACATTGTTGTTGTCAATAAAAAAATTATTATCAGCTAATTGAAACTCATTTCTACAATAAAATTTTTGTAAAACGCCAGTCTTTTTTCCAGTTGCTAATTTGTAAAACCCATCATTAGCCGATTGTCAAATCTAACGATCAATAAATGTCGTTAGGTATTGGTTTTTCGACATATGGTTATGTTTCTGTGTTTTAGCCATCATCAATCGACTTACCTACTTGAATTTCGAACTCGGGTTCCATTTTTTCTTGCATTTTTATATTTTATTTTACCAAGTATTGCGTATTTCCACCCACAACAACAAAATCAAAATAAGAATCCTTTAAAACCTAAACAAACTACTAACCCTACTTTTTGCCGTCTTATTTAAAGAAAACGAGCAAAACTAGTATTGGTCATTTTGAAATGCACCAAACTAGTTTTACACAATTTAAAATGTCCAATACTAGTTTTTGCTATTTTATAATGCGCAATACCCGTTTAAATGTACAATTTCGGGTTTAGTTTTGCAACCAACTGCAATGATGTTGAGTGCAACAAATATGCTTTTTGCACATGTTGCACACAACATTTTTTCTACTATCGAATTGAAATTCTTATTTAAATCTTTATTAATAAAAAGTGTGTTTTTGAAAATTTATTCATTCCCATCAAAGTCTTCAAATTTCAACCCATCGAAAGAATCTTGGCAACACCGCCGACCGCTAAGGTGTTCCTGCTATCGCTACCATCGCCGTTACCTCTCGAAGCACGCGTTCAGGTACGCGGCGTACCTTCTGCGTGTCATGCTCTCCTGCTACCTAGCCACGAAATTCCGAGGTTTTTCCCGAACTTCTACGCGGGTCTACCGACCATTTTCTTCATCTGGTTTTACCGAAATTCCCGCTATTCTCAGCCTCAGCGTTCGTACCGCACCATCTGAATATTTCGCGAAAAAAGTGCCAAGGAAAAGATACGAACTCTAGTTTGTGTTGAGAACGGCAGGATGTATGCAACCAGATATACTTGTGAGGTGTTTAACTGGTTGCATATTAGTTATCATGAATAAAACATAAAATATAAATTCTTTACTATTGGCAAAATTTACAGATTCTGTAAACTTTGCTATTGGGTCTAAAAGTATGAAATTCTTAGAATAGGTCCAAGAATCACTTCCTTAAATATTAGCATGTCATTAATAGTAATTTGTTGGTTTCGCTTTACGTTGCTAAAAAATAATAATAAATGTTATTGGTTATTGAAATTATTTAAAAATATACAGGCTGTCAAAAAATAGTGTATCTAACTCCCTTGTTTGGCACCAAAAAATGGCGTCCTATAATTTAACATCGCATTGTTCTCAAATGATATTAGATCTCATTAACTGATGTACTTCTTCTTGTTCTAGGTTATCTTCATCACAGAATATATGTCATCTGGCTCGTTGAAACAATTCCTCAAGCGCACCAAACGCAACGTCAAAAGAATACCCCTACCCGCGTGGAGGAGATGGTGCACTCAAATCCTCTCAGCCTTAAGGTAATTAATCCCTCCCCCCTCCCCCTGGCACTTTTTTTTTATTGTAAAACCGTTCTATAATTTGATACTATAACCCCACTTTTGTAATAATTTAGACAGTAAGACTTTTTTACTTGTATAAGGTGAACATATATAGGTTTTTGTCGAAATGTATTAGTTTATAGTTTGTAAGGAATTTCTAACCACAATGAGTTATTGTTTGTAAGTATGAAAACTTGAAATGTGGTTCATTTTGATCCTTGATCGTTTGCCTCTCTTCAAAACGCGGGAAATTTAAATTTTGAATTAATTTAATGTAAGTAAAATCCGTAAAATAAACGATCTTGGATATGAATTTAATTTAATATGTAGTAGATTTGGTTAATTTTCAGGTGTTTTAAGTAAAAAATAATGGTAAAGGTAAGTAAAATGTTCTGTTAAAAGGAGAATTTTGATGTGAAGGTATTACAGTAATCTGTCGAGGGATTTACCGATGGTGTTAGTTGAGTACGATTAACGCGAGATGGCGTCAGTATTCTATGGAATTTCGGGCTTGGTGAGTATGGCTTCCGTTTTTACCGTTCTTTGGTACTTCCAGTGAATACAGACCAGCGAATGTAATTTTAACAAAAATAATACAGTAAAACAACTAAAAAGTTATTCTAATTCATTGTTATATTTAATTATACAATTAATTTAAAGATAATTTTTTTCATGCCATTTTTTTTTGATACGCATTAACTGTTATTTATTTTAATACCGGGTGTGTCTCAAAATTGGTCACCCATATAACTTTTTTATTTTTTCAGATTAAAAAAAAGAGATCTGGTATGTAAGTACATATGTATATGACATAAATTAGGATTTATTGACGTATTCAATTGTTTATGGTCGCTTCCTGTTTTACCGGAAATTACTACAACTTTTGTTTTTTAAATGGCATCCTCGGTTAGACAGAAAATACATAGGTTAGACAGAAAATGACACTCTGAATAGAATGATCTATGATATGTCAACTTTTGACATTTTCACTTAAAAAAAAATCGTATTTTAAATTTCAATCTAGAGTGCCATGACTGTGTTAAAAACACTAATTTTTAATTAAGGAGCCTTGGGAAAATAGATTTAGTCGTCTAATGTTTTTAGTGTCTTGTCTTGGCACATTAAAGATGTCCAAATCGTATTTTTAGTCATCTCAGTTTTTTCAAATGGAACAAGGGTGACTCATTAGCATATTTGGAAAAAGTATTTTTTTACGAATAATTTGGTTCCACACACTTGAGTCAAATTGTCGTTATGAACCGCATGTTACAATTTCAAATAAACCATATGCGAAAATGTAAAAAGTCGACATTATATGTCATTCTATTCAGAGTGTCATTTTCTGTTGAATAAAGTTTAAAAAAAATACCAAGGGTGTTATTTAGAAATCAAAAGTTGTAGTCATTTCCGGTAAAACAGGAAGTGACCAAAAACAATTGAATACGTCAATCAATCCTAATTTATGTCATATACTAATATACCAAATCTCGTGCTTTTTAATCTGAAAAAATAAAAAAGTTATAGGAGTGAGATACACCCGGTATATCTCTAAATATTAATTCAAAATTATATCAAATTTGACCCATATTTTTTCCGATTTTGTTTTTATACTTTTAAGCTTTTTGTCGTTAACGTTTGTTACGAACGGGAGTGGTATATGCAACCAGATATACTTCCAAGGTGTTTAACTGGTTGCGTTGATATTATCGTGAATAAAAATTCGTTACTAACGACATTGACACATTTCAATTATGTTTTTTAAAAATATTATCGATACAAAGATCGATACCGATAAAGATTATCGATATTTTTTCAAAACAAGACATCTCTAATAAAATTTTATACGTAAACTTTGACATACAAAAGAAAAATCATGGAAAATGAATTAGAATAATCATTTCTGACTGCACAGTGAGTTAATTCGCCCATCGGTTGGTCCCTTCGAGCCAAATATATCGAAATAAAAAAAGCGAAAACGAGAAAATATAGAGAAAGAAAGAGATGAGGCCGAGTTAAAGCGAAAAAAGGGTCTCTGATCGTCGCAGAAAAATACGGGGAGGCCCAAAAAAGCGGCTAGATAGAACGCTATCCATGTCATCACACACACTCGAGAGAAAGTCGGTTCTATGAATCCAGTATGTTTTCTTTACAGTTACTTGCATTCCTGTACGCCGCCAATCGTCCACGGCAATCTGACCTGTGATACCATATTTATTCAACACAATGGACTCGTCAAGATAGGCTCAGGTAATCACAAAAACAAAACAAAACCAAAAAAAATAGAATCAAACGCCAGTTCACCGCAAAACGCCAAAATACTGTGCTTTAAAATGTCGCGTTTCGCTAACCTTGTTACTATCGTTATGATGTTATTCGGAAAATGGGTGTTTATGTAGGCACTCGGTTGATATTGTTACCCAGCGTGACAAAATCAGCGAATAATTAAATTACGGAACTCGACCGATAGGGACAGAGAACTAGAAAGTATGGGACCAATATCTGTGTTCATATTGTTTTATTTACGGCCATGATAAGTTAAACGTTGATAGTTTTTTTTTAAAAAGAAGATTTTTACGTAAAGGCACCTACTACATCTATCTAGAGTTGATGTATTGCCGCATCATTTGAAAAGTAGTAGCATCGTTGTTATTTTAAATGGAACACCCGGTATTTTATTATATTTTTGGAAACTACGTTCATATATAATTGTCATGGTAACGAAATTCTCATATTTATTTACTTTAGTAAATATATTTTTTCATCTTCCTGTGTCATATTCAACGGATTGATTTAGACAGATCGAATATATCGACTCTCCTTAACCTATAAACCAAATTTCAGCTTTAAATATGCTTAATTCAAGATTTTATCAATGCTTTTCAGGATTATGTTTCTGTCAATTTTACATATTTAATTTTTTTTTACCTCAAGAACTATGAGAGATAAGCATAGGAGAGATATACTCGTACAATATAAAATGTCTTGGAAATGGAACTCGAAAAGTGTAATAATATACCGCGCGTTCCATTTAAAATACCAAAGATTCTACTACTTTTCAAATGATGCGGCAACACCGTAACTCTCTGAAAATAACTTGGATACAGAAGGTACCTTTGTGTAAAAATCCAAATTTTTAAATAAATCCAACGAACGGTTGTCCATAAGCGTCTAACTTACCATCGCCGTGATTCACCCTGTATAGCCAATTAAGATTTGGTAGAGCAGATAAATATTATATTTTATATTTCGGGTAAATTACAGGCAATTAGATGAGAATTTAACTATAAATAAAAGTAAAGACAATATGAACTGAGATAAGGGTCCTATACCTTATAGTTCCTCTTTTCTATTACTCTAGTTAGGTAATTTATTATTACGCTTGGTAAAAATACCAAAGGGTTGCCTACATAAACGCTAAATTTATGAATAATAGTTATGTCGTAATCATAAGCTGATGATGCTAATGTGGTTAGCGAAAGGCGTGCCCAGTATAAAAAGTAAAGCGTTTTGGTGTTTTGTGACGAACTAGTGTTTTATTTTGCTGTTGTATAACGCCAAAAAGGTAACCTCAACTGTATAAAAACCGAAAAATACATAATATATACAATAAAACATATAAAAAAGTCAAAAATTCAGTAAGAATAGCGAGTATTAGTATGTCGTGCGCAAAATATAAGTCAAAAAATTATTGGTTGCATTTGTTTGTTTTTTTTTCTGAACTTTTTTGGATAATAGTGCGCTGCACGGCCGTCTAGGATTGTGGGATGGGCGCTGTTACGCGCATGTCTGACAGCGGAGCTGTCAATCAGTTTAAGCGTCCGATTTTTTTACGTCATATCTGTCAAAAAAATATTTTATTTGTGCTGTGGTCGAAAATTGTGTCTATACATTTATTTCAGGGTAATCTTTTCAGTATATTGCAAAAATATCAAATATTTAAGGTATATACCTACAAGATTATCCTGTAATGAATTTTGGACTTCCTGTATATATACAGTGTGCTTCAGAATTAAATACAAATTTTAGGAGTTTGCAAGATGTCGAATATTTTGAAAATATATATTACAAAAACTAATGTAAATTTTAATAAAATTTCACTAAGATTTGTTTATCTGTCAATTTTGAAAATCCCTATCATTATTTGTAAAATAAATTGTTTCTAGATGGACTTAATAAAATCTTTTGTATGGAACAAAAAAAAATTATTTGTTTTAATAATATTTCTGAGGTTTAGTCTATTTATTTAAATATAAGAACAATTTTTATTCAAAGCTTTACATTTTCTTTTTACACTCTTTAGGTATATTTTTATTTTTAATATTTTATATAATAGTTTATTTTGTACATAGTTTATACTTACTTCTTATCATTGAATGGCTAGCCAAAGTAAATGTAAACTATATACATTAATTGTAAGAATTATACCTGAAGACTTTATAAATAATAAATAATCTAAATCCAAGAAATATGCACAAAATATTCTTTAAAAATATTCATTTCTGAGACACTCTATATATATACGGTGTGATCAAATGAAAACGACGTCACAGTAAGCGTAGATATAACATTTTAGTTCGAGCTTTACTATGTCTATAGTTGAAAACGTTGAAACAAGTAATAAAAGAAACTATTTTTTTATATTGGCTACTACAACATGATCGAAAAAAAAACGGCGTCAGCGATGTCTTTGAAATGAAGAACGCTGTCATTTTATATGTAAAATTATATGGGAAATGTCATCGATCGTCATTTCCAAGCCAACTGGACGCCTTTTTTTCGATCATATGGTATCAAGAACTTCAAGGATAGACATATCAAAACTGGAAATAAAAAATGTTACTTCTAGGCCTACTATGACATCGTTTTCATTGTATATTGACCATATTTAATAGAAAATTAATTGGGTTAACACTAAAATAATTTTATAAACATAATTTTTTGAAAAAAGTTTTATTTTTAAACTGGTCAACACAAGTGACAGTTAAACCGCTGTGACAGCTGTCTGCTCAGACCCGCGCATGCGGGACACTTGCAGCAAGCGTCGGCTACGCCCCCCGCTCCCCTCGCGAGTCCTCGTCTAGCCTTTCGCGCACGTAAGTGCGGTTATGTCGCTTACGCGCGCTACGAAGGCGTTTCGAAGGCTATTTACTCAAATATTGTAAAGCCGACGCTTCAGTCTTGCGGTCCCAGTCAGTTTCCACCAAAAACGCGAAAAAGATCCACGTTTTTTGAGCAAACACCTAAAAAGTAGGGGAAGGGTGTGTTAAAGTGGTGCGAGGAGGTAATTCGAACGAATAAAAAGCAGTGGAGACTGGTTCGACGGAGCCCGTTCCCGTAATCCGACGCCGTCAGCTTTTTCGATCGTCGAAATCTAACTGTCAATGCTGTCTAACGCTGATTGGGTGTTTGTTTTTTCTTTTGACGTTTAGTGGCGCCCGAGTCCATCAACCATCACGTGAAGACGTGCGCGGACGAGATCAAGAATTTACATTTTGTCGCTCCGGAACACCCCAGTGAGTATAACTCAATTTTTTCTATCAGTTTATTGTTTTAATGTTGCCTAATAGTAATAATAACGAAAATTTTGTTACAGGTGCGTACTTAGCTTATTATGAACAAGACTGGGAAGAGATTAACTTTTAAACGTTTTTTTTTTAAATCCTACTATATTGGAACTCTTTAAAAATCCCACTTAATGTAGGTTTTTTAAAAAATTCTCATTTAATATGATTTTTTTAGTCCCATTTAATGTGGACTCTTTAAAAATCCCGTTTAATTTGGGATTTTTTTTGATATAGGTCAATAAATAATCCTGTATCGTCAGTTTACAAGCAAAACACACTATTAATATTCCTTATAATTCGAAAATATAATTTTTAATGCATTTTTTATAAACAAAATATCATGAAATTGATGAAATATTAAAATAATCGGGATTTTTCAAAAAAGTCTAGTTTAATATGGTATCTTAAAAAATCCCATATTAAATAGGAATTTTTAAAGATCCCACTTTGTGGGATTTTTTGAAAATTCCCATTTAATACGGGCTTTTTAAATAATCCAATTTAATGTGGGCTCTTTTTATAGATCCCATTTAATATGGGATTTTTTGATAGGTTAATAAAAATCATAGTTATGATATGGAATTTTTAAGAAATAAAAAATCCTGTATCGTCAGTTTACAAGCAAAATACACTATTAATACACCTTGTTTTTCGAAAATACAGTTTTTATTATGCATTTTTTATAAACAAAATATCATAGAAATGATAAATATGAAAATAATCGTGATTTTTATAAACAAAATCTAATTTAATATGGAATCTTAAGAAAATTCCATATTAAATAGGAAAGATCCCACTTAATGTGGGATTTTTTAAATAATCCCATTTAATATGGGATTTTTTTGATATATATTTATAAAAATCACAATTATTTTATGATATTTTTTAGAAAATAAAAATCCTATATTGTCAGTTTACAAGCAAAATACACTCAAAAAATATAGTTTTTAATGTATTTTCTAACAAAATTGCTTATTTAATCATAGTCTTAGTTAATATGAAAATAATAGCGATTTTTTTTAAATATCTAATTTAATACGGGACCTTTAAAAAATCCCATTTAATATTGGCCTTCTTTAAAAATCCCACTTAATGGAGGAATTTTTTAAAACTACCATTTAATATGTGGGCTTTTTTAATTTTTTAATAATCTCATTTAAATGTGGGCTCTTCCTAAAAATCTCATTTAATAAAAAATAAATAATTTTAACAATATCCCATTTAAAGCATATTAACAATCCCATTTAATATAGATTTTTTTATATAGAACTCTTAAACATCCTATTGTTTTTTAAGTCAAGTAAAATTCCTCTTTGTACTTAAATTCCTTTTAAGTACTCCTTGTATTTTAAGTCAAGTAAGTCCTGACATAACTGACTGTTTTCCTCTTCCCGCTGTAGACATAAGCCCCGCGCTGGACATCTACGCGTTCGGCATGTGCGCCCTGGAAATGGCCGCCCTGGAGATCATCGGCAACGGCGACTCCGGCAAGCGGGTGACCCAGGACAACGTGCGGCAGACCATCGACCAGCTCGAGGATCCCGAACAGCGCGACTTTATCGAGAAGTGCCTGCAGATCAACCCGGAGGACAGGTGGACGGCCAGGCAGTTGCTGTTCCATCCGTTGCTGTTCGAGGTTCACAGCCTCAAGTTGCTCGCGGCTACGGTGTTGGTCAAGAATTCAGGTAAAATATGTGAGTGTAGTCGTTATCATTTCATTATTTATCACTGTTTTTTTTTTCGTGCGTTAAGCTTCATTCAGAATCTCAAAATTAGTGGAGTAAATTACTGGTTTCGATTAGCGTAGAAGTTTGTTCCCCTAATTTCAATCTAAGCATAATTAATTATAATAATAGTCATCCGACGCGACGTTGCCATTACGTTCCTAATTGTCACTCGCTTCAGTACCAGTATACTTAGAAAAGAACCTTAAAAACATTGTCTTTGAATAAAAATATTAAGGAAGGACGGGTCTGGTTAAATTCCGGTTTATCAGTGCCGTTCTAATTTTATTCAAAACGTGTAAAAATATGATGTAGGGTAGACTCAGTAATTTGTTGTTTTATTTTACGTTGTCAATAAATGTTGGTAGTTTTATTAAAATTGTTATAAAAATATGGAGGAGGCCGGGTGGACAACTGAAAAGGTACAAGGACATTTTCCACGAAAACTTAAAGGGAATTAACAAGCAGAGTGAGTGGGAAGAGGCAGCTCACAATAGATCTCAATGGAGAAGAATTATTGTAAACTCAGTTAACAGCGGCAACCATTACCAAAAAGTAAAATGGCAACAAAGATTTTTGAATGTCTGGAGTGCGGTAGGTAGATAACATTACGTATCGTGTATGTATAGGGGTGGATGGGGAAATGGAAACCGGCCCGGGAATAACAGGCAACCAGCCCAAATCTACAAATACAAAATGACCATAACGAAGAAACATATTTTATTTATTAATATATAAGTAAGGGTGTTTTTCGCTCGTGCGTAAAAAGCTCTTTTGCCTCCGGTTTAAAAAAAATGAAATTGTCTTGATCAAATTTTCTCAAAGATTAATTCTACAGGGTTCTACTGCTTTATTTCCATTATCGATAACGGTAATTTGATCTTGAATTGACAATTTTGAGTCGCGATTTTGAGAAACTTTAAGACTTTCTGATTCATTCAGTTCAGCTGGCCCAGTCCTCTGTGAAATGCATTATTTTTAGTTTTTCAGGTATATACTTTCTTACACATTGTAGAAAGAAGTTCGCTCTTTTCTGGTAGAGCAGCAGCCTCGTCGTGTAAACTCATTTGTGTAAACTTTTTTTTAACTTAATGAACCGCGGTCGCCATTAAAAATTCCGCATTTTTTTGGTTATTATATTAGTTCTTATCACTTTTCCTGTATACTTTTCTACATTTGGCATCTTTTATGATAATACCATGACTCCAAGAAAAAAAACTAGATCTAGGCAGTGGATGTAAATGTGTTCTGAGGTAGTGCTAGGTTACAGTCCATAATAAGAATATTTTGATTTTTGAGACATATTAATATTTTATTATCTAATCTAGTTTAAACCTTATTTAAGTTTTCTCTTCTGTCTCAGCAAATTTTAGTAAATTAATTTTAGCAACATTTTAAACAACAGTTTAGACTTGGCTTTTAGTTCTCAAGCATAGAGATAGCCATCACAAGTTTTTTTTGTCAACCGCAGAGCGTCAAATTGGTCAATCTTTTTACAAAGGGGAGCTTGTGTCGCAGCTTTTTCAAAAAAAACATTGCACTGAGGTCCCCAGTTGTCAATCCACGTTACCGTATTCTTAGTGTACAGTTAGATCGAGACTATTTAAATTTACCTAATGCTATTCATTCTTTTTTCTGCTGCCAGTCAGTCATATTTATTAGTTATTAATAAAAAAATAGTGGTAAAACTATACAGGGTGAGTCTTAAATAAGTGCAAATATTTTCAGGGGTGGTATATTTCGACCCCAAGAACACGTCTATGAAGTTTCTTTTGCAAAAAAAGATATTAAAAATTGTGCATTTTCTTTGAAATTTTCCTATATATTTTAGAAAACTTTTTAGAACTTCCTGTTCACCGCAAATTTTCCCACGGTATAGTTTCTTAATCTCTGATATTACGGCACGAAAAGAGATGCAAATACCGAAAAATTGAGGTGGCTCGAATTTTTTAAAAATAAATCTCTTTTATTTTAATTTTCAAACTTTAATAACTCGGTTGGACTTATTTGAAACACGGCAAAGAGAATATATTATGTTTCTTTTATTGAGATCTACAAGCCCTGAAAATATTTGCACTTATAAAGTCACCTTGTATAATAAACATTTTCAAACCGAACAAACAACAGATGTTTGTTAAAATTATAAGTGTCTCAGAGAAAGACATCTTACAATAGTTATTTTACAAATTGGTGTTTTTGTATAAAAGAAACTGACGATTATACTGATGCAAATTGATTAGTTAGTTATGGAGTCTCTACGAATCTTACGTCACTTTAGTTAGAAGATTAACCATTTAAATTTTGCTAATCCATTTTTTTTTGAGCTCTGATCGGATCCGGCCGGCCCACCGGCATCTTTCCACCGGCCCAGCGGGAATTTTCCCCTTTTTCCATATGGCTCATCCACCCCTGTGTATGTATGTATAAAAATATACATGTAACATGTATAAAAATATACAATTGTAAGAAAAATTGAGTTTTTTTATTAACACAAACATCCGATACGCTATTGAAGCAGGTAAGTCAAATTGACGTATCTAAATTCTTTGACAGATAGATAAAAGGAAAAATACAAGAAAAGATATATAATTAGTTAATTTTAAGTGAATTTCATAAATGATCAGTTTACTACAAGTATGTATATTATATTATGGTCACTTACAAGTGAAAATTCCATTATTTCCTCCGATTTTTGACCGATATCTACCGCACGCTACACAACCAACTACTTTACAGTCTTTTTCGATAAATCGCAGCAGTGTCACTGTTAATTTAAGTTCTGCCACAATTTCTATCTAGACTTACTACCTTTATACAAATATCAGTAGTAGAATAAATAATAAAAAACATAAAATAAGCTCAGTAAAGACTGACAAATCCACAAAATTTCAAATGTGTCAAATGAATCGTCAAACAGAACTGTCAAGGATTCCCACCCTAGGCCCCTTGGTCCGTCTACCTTGCATGATATGCATTATACTACTTTCTTAATATTTTTATTCAAAGCTGTTCGTCAACAAGTAAAACAAAAATTGCATAATATAACCTTCAAGCTGCAACCCAAGTTACTCTGTGACGAGTCAAGAACAGTTAACCTAATAGGACTGCTCATTCAGCCAAAAGTGTCCACCAGGTGCATGCGAAAACTACTCGCTTTGTGACGTTATTATAGCCCTTGTCATGGTTATTAGTCCTTATCCGGCAACCAATAATACACACACGTGCATTATTGGTTACCGAATGCAAAACGTTCATTATTTAGTTTATTTATTTAAACACCTTATATGTATGCAGTATAGAATATTAACTGTATAAATCGTATTAAATACTCGGATAATGCATTTTTAAGAACAGCAGTTCCCAGCATCACCTTTTGCAAGCATTCTTTTTAGAGTACTTCCATATTTTGCTTTAAAATAATTAATAAACAAAATCGTGGGCATTTAGTATGCACTTTGTCACAATCCACAACTCAAAATGAACGTATTTATACACTCTATAGCTCTAAAAACTTTAAAGACACCTTTTTCACATTTAAAATTGGCAAAATAATTAACTCAAAATTTCTCAGCTATTATTTTTATAAGTTTACTGTACGCAACTAATAATACACACTATCATGACAAGGCCACGAAGGCTTTGACAAGGGCTACAATGACGTCACAACTGTCAGCTGAAGCGCGGGAAGAGGCGAACGTACGTCTTATGAGGATGAGCAATCCTATTAGTTTACGGTTCTTGGTGACGAGTGACGACAATAAAATTCATGAGACATTACAGAAATCTACAATTTTTAATTTTCCGATTTTGATATTAGATGGCGCTAGAGGTATAATAAATTAAGTTTTTAGATTAGAAATGCCACGTTAATCAAAATTAATTAATTAATATTCATTATAATATTCCAAAATATTATTATTATTATTGTTTCTATGCTAATCTCCAGTCTTATATAAACGGTTATCGCTAACAATATAACACTCTCTGTGACCCCAGATTTATTAATCCTCAGTTAATCTTAAACTTTTTAAGTTTTTGTATAGAAAAATCCTTAATACAATGCCATAATGATCCAAAAATGTGATAACCCCGAGATTGTATTATTTATTTTGTAAATTGAATTTTTCGAATTCGTTTTGGCTAACATCACACGCTCAGAGCCGCGCAGTCTGGAGTAAACAAGTATAATTAAAGGTTATTAATGGATAGCTAGTGTTTTTTTATAAATAGGTAACTCCAGGGGCGTACTATCTTATTTTATTTATATTCGAAGAATATTATTAGTTCTATTGTATTATTTCTGTACATCTGTATGTAGATAGTGCAGTACGCTACTGATAATGATAAGCACTTATCATTTCTATATTAAAAAATCGTTTTTAAACTCTATAAAGATCTGGCAATGACGTAAATAAGATTTTTAATAAATCTTCGAAATTTGATGTATTATATCAGAACATATTTCAAGTAGTGAAGTATGGTCTAAATTTAGACTATTATTAAATGAATTAATCCAAATGCATTTTTTTAATTTTTTTATGTTTGAATTTAATATAATATATACAATATACAGTATCTACAGATAGTATTGTTTTAAGTGACAACCACTTTGTTTTATTTAAATCACTCAAAAATATTTTTTCTTTTATTAAAAAAACTTTTATCTCCAACTATCGTCGTAGGAGTCAAAATTATTGTTTTTTTTATTAATTAAAAATGAGAGGTTGTTTTTTAAAAAAAGTTAGGCATTTAGAAACAATTTTATCATTGATATTTAATTTGTTTACTAAAAAGCAGAAGAATTATTGTCAAAAATGGAAAAAAACTTGAAAACCCGATGGACAAGTTCTCTTCCTGAAACTATATACTTTTTACGGCTTTGCAAAAAATTTATATGATTTGCTGGAATAAAACTGTACAGGGTAGTTGAAATTAGTCTGTTTTAACAGAGAAAACCTATTTCCTGACTAGATGGAGCGAAACCGACATAGATGTCGTAGGCTTGATTTCTGAGACGTTTCATGGCGTAAACCACCTGTTGATATTTTGATTGCCATCTGAAATACGGGGTCTTTTTGAATTTTTTACCATTTGGAAAATTTCCCATAACTTTTGTATTTCGCGGAATAATAAAATTCTGTAAAAACGTTCTTAAAGTACTTTTTTAAGCACGATCCAGTGGCGTAGTCAGTTTTTTCCTGTGCTTGCTCTTTTTATCAGAGATAATTAAAAATATAATTTTTTAAATGGAAATCGTAGTTGGCTATGAACTTAAAAAAATGTTGGCGTTTAGTCCGTTCCAACGATATAAAGTTAGGGGTATTTATTTCTAAGAATGAGAGAATTATTAGGATTTTTATCGTTATATCGAAGCGGGCTTTGATTTTGAGTTGACCTATTTGCATAATTATTTTTTATCACAATTTAATATTCTATATTATTATTTCTCTGCAAAATTAAATACTTTTGAAAAGGTAAATTAACATTCTATTATTAGTAGTATTAGTAATTGCAACTGAAATCGATATAATAAACAAAGAACAAAACTAAGAAAACGCAGTTTTTGAGTGACGAATATAGTTTTCTAAAAAAATCAAAGATGTTCAAATTGAGCTCCTTCTTGTTGAATACACAATAAACATCTTTTTCGCACAGAGTTGCAACGATTTATTAGGCGAACTGCTTGAAAAGTTTGCCTAGTAGCCTTCTGCAATTCTTCTCTCGTCCCAATGGTTCTTCTCGTATATATAAGGTCTTTTAATTTCCCCCATAAAAAAGTCAAAAGGAGTTAAATCACAGGACCTAGCAGGCTAAGATGTGGGTCCCTTGTTCCAACCCGATTCTCTCTAAATTCTCCATTTCATAGTTCAGTTGTAACCCTAGCGTTTTAATTGTAATTGGTAATACCAATATAGAATGTTGATTTACTTTTTCAAAAGTTTTTAATTATGCAGATAAATAATAATATAGAATATTAAATTGTGATACGAAATAATTAGGCAACTAGGTCAACACAAAATCAAGGCCCGCTTCAATACAAAGATAAAAACCCTAATATTTCCCTCATTTTTAGAAATAAATACACATAACTTTATATCGTTGGAAAGGGCTAAACGCCAGCATTTTTTTAAGTTTATAGCCAACTATGATTTCCATTTAAAAAAATATATTTTTTATTATTTCTGACAAAATGAGCAAGTATAGATAAAAACTGACTACGCCACTGGATTGTGCTTAAAAAAGTGGAGCCAGTCTTCTGTATATCATACACTAGCTGAAATAAATTTATGTATAAAATATTGAAATAAAATAAATGTTACAAGGAAATCACATTTTAATCTCACTGAAGATATTTATTGTTTAATTTCAGCCAACATATCCGAGACCATTACCGACGAACTGATGCAAAGGTGGTACGGCCCGGATGTGATAGTGGCTGAGTTGACTCGAAACAGCGAACTGCAGCAAATCAGAATGACAGACGTCACTGTCAACGAAAAGCTGGAAAAGTTCGTCGAAGATGTCAAGTAAGTCGACTATCTTTGTCTCACTTTTTTTATGAGAAATTCTTACTACAAGTTTTGAATTTTTTTATTTGATACAAATAAGCGCGTCAAAATATATAATGTAGGGATCTACTGGATCTGTGTCGGCGAAAGGAGTTTCAAGCTACCTATACCGTGCTGGCAACTGTTACTTTTGGGTCGGCATTTACATGTGTGGAAGTAAATCGCATAGGGATCTTATTAAGTCGGAGTGGGAGAAATGCGACCGACCGACGCGACGCGCGACTGTGTGCTGTTGCGGCGTTGCCGATGCGCCTTTCCCTATCAAGTAAAGTAAAATCACGATCGCAAACCGCTTATTTTTAAAAAACTTTTTTTTCAAGAGATAACTAGATAAAATCATTAGACATGTTTCTGAGCATCTGAAATGGAATTATAAGGATATCGTTAGAGTGTCATTTTTTTTAACACATAACAGGCCATAACTCAAGAACCACTTTAGATATTGATTTTTTTTTATTTCCAAAATCGGATATTTTACGATATGTTTACATAAGAAAAATTCGATAAGGTTGTTTTTTCCATTCAAAAATTGTAAACAATACATCCATTTACTTTTAGAGCATAGCAATTTTCAGCAATCGTGTAATTTTTTTATTGATAAAGATTTTCACATACTGTCTACAAAGAAAATACAGCAGAAATATTAACAAAGTTCTTGAAAAAACTACAATCTATTATTTCTAATAGATTTCGAGATATTGATTTTTGAATTCAGAGTTCTAATAGCGCGACCACTATCGACCACCCACTCAATTCCACTTATTTTTGCCAAAAATTCAAGTGTTTCTAGCTTGCACTTAAAAAAATTCAAGCTATTGGGAAAATTACAACGACTCGTTAATAAATAAACAAATTAAGTATCACGAGACGTAATTAAATCGTGAAGCTGAACGCATGACGTACACCTTTCCCTAGAACTTTAAGTACTGACAGAGGTATTGATTGGGTCGACTGGTCAACTGCATAGGTCAACTGCGACAAATCTGTTGTATCCCCTTCCGCGTCTCTTATTGATGTGCACAGTTTCTCGGTTTATTTCATACGTTTGGCAACGTGTTTACTGTCCTCTCTTTGTTCAGTACATTATAAACGCATTGTACTCTTCTTACATACGGAAATCTCGACCCAAGACTAACCTTTGCCAGTCCTTAGTATACACGCGACATAGAGTCCACGTGGACTTGACGAGTATGCCACCGCAAAACACTCGGCCTACTCATCACATGATCCACTTGCAAATTTTTCGAATTTTTATTGACGGGATAGATCGTCTAATTTTCGTACGGGAACGGTAGTAGACCGAGCTTAGAGAACAGTGCAGTGGTTATCGATAAAATAGTTGCGTAATTTTATTATTCTTTATTTTTTTTTCTTCTTAATTTTTATAAAGGTTATGTCTCATTTACGTGGAAAAACGTTGAAAAAAAAATATTTTTTTTTAACCCTGAATAAAATATTAATAGACAACAATTGTTGTCTTAAGATATTTTATCAAAAACTAATTTTAAAAAGAACAAAATAACTAGGTTATCTAGACTAAACTTCTAGTCGTAAACACTTGAGAATATTGTTATAACCCTGAACAATTTGAAAATTGGTAAATTTTGTTTAGTAAAATTATTGATAAATATTTTTAATTTTGAGATAAAAGTTTTTCCATTTGTTTATAAGAGATTGAGATAAAAGTTTTTCCATATACTTTAGATTCTTTACAAAAGAAAAAATAATATAATACAACATTATCTTTGACACAGCATTAGAATTTATTGTAGCTTTATATGCTAAGCTTCCTGTAATCTTATTTTTCGATATGGGAGGTATTAATGTTATAAACTAATAACTTTTATATGTCAAATTTGTTTGTCGATATAATATAATAAAAAATGCGCGAAAAACATCATGTGATTGCGATTATTTTATACAATTTTTCTAAAACTGTTACGTATATAATATGATGTATCGGTTGTTTTATTGTAAGCACAAATTAACTAAAACAGATGCGAAAGAACAGCGAATTACGCATTCAGGTTTCTGTGACCTTCAGAAAGAGTTCATAGACAATCCGCATCAATGTATAGTTTGGGTGAAAATAATCTGCACCAATATGTTATCGAGGCATACAAAAAGGTCCACAGACTTCGAGATATACGAAAAATCAAGTCCATTTAGCGTGTGTCGCAATTTTCACACCTTAAAAATTAGTTTTTTATAGCTATAACAGCCCAACTGCAGCGACTATGAAAAAAAGCTGTGTGATTTTCATAGAAAATAAGGGCACCTGTAATTCATTTGAGAATGTTATAAATCGCTAAAGAGGTTTCAAATCTCTTGGATTTCTATTAATATTAAATAAATTTGATTAAAAAATTGAACTAAAATTGTTAGTATCATTAAAACAATTCAAATTCAAAAATTGTATCAGTCAAATTCCCTTATTTAAAGGTGAATATTAAAGTAAATATAAATACAGCTCATTCTAAGCTCTACTTATCTTTAAGAAAAATTTAAATCATTGTTGCAATTGGGCCTTAATGCCATTTCGAATGAACAATAGTATTAATAATGTACATTATAATAATAATAAATTTTATATCATAGTGTGTATTAAAACTACTAAAACCCTTTTAAATTGATATTATATTAACAACTTTTGTTTTTTAATCCAAAAAAAAGTTACCAATTTTCTCAATCAGAATATTTGCGGTCCTGAAAAGGACCTCCGTTTTCCCATGTCCGTCAAGGTAGGTAATGGGTAAACGGTAAAAAAACAGGATAATGAAATTTAAAAAATTACAAAAATTGTTCAAAAGTGCCTCCCTCTTGCATTAAACAATAACCCAAATGATCATAAAATCCCCTCCACACATTGGATAACATATCAGGGGTGACAGTGTCAAAGGCATTAAATATTTTCTGTCTTAACTGCTCCAAGTTTTTAATTTCTTCATGGCCGTAAATTTTAGATTGTATGTACTCCCATAAAATCATTCACCGAGAAGTCAGGCGAAATTAAATGTCAGTCTAAACAAAACTGTAATTTTTGAAAACTTGTCAAAATTTGGACACACGCTAACTGGACTTGATTTTCCTATGTCTCGAAGTCTGTGGACTTTTCTGTATAATCTCACAGTAATTTAATAGATTGCTCGTCATATTATATCAGCTCGTAGGAGATTAGGAAAAAAAAAGATATTTATAGTTTAAAAAATAATTTATTTAACAAAATTTAATTAAAGACGTGACAAAATAGTTACATTTCTATTGGTTCTATCGGACTTTTTTCGACTGTATAAATCTTTATTTTTTGTACTAACTTTAATGCATAAAATATTTTCAATCTAATAAATAATTTAATGATGTAAATAAGAGGAAATTTCTCACATGGGTGGTCAAATTCTATAGTTTTCATTATATCAAACAGCCTCTGAATGTTTTATTCAGTGCAAAACTCATCAAAATTTAATATAAATAATTTTTCCAGCCCGTCAAAAAAAAATGAACAAATTTTTCCACTTTCATGATCAAAGGCTTTTAAATGGGTAAATAATTTCGAGTTATCCAGAGATTCGGATTCTTTTGCAAATTTTAGACAAATATCACATTGATGTATTTGAAGACCCTTTTTAATGATGTAGTCAAACATAATTAAAGGCATTTTGAGTTGAAATCTTTTCTCAGAGGCTGTTTGATATAATGAAAACTATAAAATTTGACCACCCATGTGAGAAATTTCCTCTTATTTACATCATTAAATGATTTATTAGATTGAAAATATTTGATGTATTAAAGTTTCAAATAAAGATTTATATAGTCGAAAAAGTCCGATAGGAACCAATAGAAAGGTAACTATTTTGTCACATTTTTAATTAAATTTTGTTAAATAAATTAATTTTTTATACTATAAATATCTTTTTTTTCCTTATAAATAAACACATTTGTATCCCATTTTAAATAAGATATACAAATTACCAAAACTTAAAAATAACAGTTCAAAAGTTCAACAAAAATCCTACACGCGTTTTTAAAAAGAAACATATAACCACGCACTATGTCATTCCAGCAAGCGAATACGACACAGCATAGGTTTCCGGACTAAACAACTGGTGTATTTACACCACTCAATAGGCGTGTCGGGTTTGCCGAGCGGTTTCCGATGCAGTCGCTTTCTTTCGCATCTGTTATAGGGAATTTGTGTTGTAAGGTTATAAGAACTTGGAAGAATATTATAATAAATCGAAAAAAATGAAAACTAACCCCCTGTAGCTATGAAACAAAGCAGAATTGGACCTATTGTCCTATATAATAAAAAATAAATTTATTTTTACGGGAGATGGCACATGTTTTTGAAACACCCTGTATAAAGGGTCGGTTAAAGGACTTTTTTCCATAGCAACTGTTAAAATTATGTCTATCAAAAATAGTAGATAAAATAGTACTTTAACCACAAGGGTAGATTAAATGATACTTTAACAGCGAGGATAGGTTAAAAACTTTATTTCTTCTCGCACGTTTTTTAATTGCTTCCATTTTTGAACATTTTTGTATTCCTTTTCATGAGTTATTCGGGATTTAAATGGAAGAAGTTTAGATATAGCGTTTGTCGCCTCAGCCTGAATATCTGTTGGTAATTTACTTATTTCGTTTTGAGCCATTTCTGGCTCTAGTTCAATCAGCAATCGACACGAAAGAGAATTAAAAAATATTGACTCAAAACTGACAACTAAAGGGACAGCTTTATTTATTTGTCAAATCACATAGAAACCAACGCCAACTCAGCACAATATTTTTTCTACTCGTAATAAATTCCTTGAAATAATAATTTATGAATATTTTTTAAAACGTAACTCGCTATGGAAAACAATATTGTTTTATACACGACGATAACATTGCATTATCGTCTTGTATAAAAAATAACTATTATTACATAAGAAGTGCATAAAAGTATCTAGAATTACAAA